TTGTATCTGATAGTACTACCTACTTCATTTTTTATCCTATATAGCCACTTGTCTAACAAAGCTTTCTTACCGATGAGCAACTTGGTCAACTCCCAAGTTTTGTTCTGAAGTAACGAGCCCATCTCGTCTTTCATGGTACGCTCCCATTGCATGTGAGATATGTTTTTCTTTTCCTCATCATAAGTCTCCAGCTGTCCCGAATATGTATATAAGACATGGCTCAAAATAGTATTTGCTGATGGATCAAAAATTGCCTTTGGCTTTCTCTTGAACTACATGTTCATTGATAATAGGTTATCTTGAACCTCTCCTTTAGGTGCGCTTTGATCTATTGGAACTATTTTCATGAGCATTGTGTCTAGCTCAACATATTTAGGTTCTACTACCTTCTCATGCTCTGTTTGATGATCCTTGTACATCTTTTCTTCATGGAATACCATATTTCGATTGCGAATGACTTTGTTATTCTCATAATCCCAAAGTCTATAGACATACTCATCGCTAGCATATCCGATAAAGATGCACTTCTGGGGTTTCTCATCAAGCTTCTTCCTATCCACCATATCAATCAAAGCATATGGAATACAAAAAGAAACTTTTAGATATGAATAATTAACCTTTTTTCTTAACCACTGCTCTTGCGATATTTCTGCTTCTAGCGCACTAGTTGGGCTCCTGTTGATAAGATAAACAACTACATCAACTGTGGCAGCTCATAGGTGTAGCGGGAGACCTGCATGTCGCCTCATGCATCTCGCATGTTCCAGAATGGTCCTGTTCATCCTCTCAGCTACACCGTTCTCTTGAGTAGTCCTAAGAACATTCTTCAACCTGTGTATGCCTTCCCCACTCAAGTATTTTGCAAATTTCTTACTCGTGTATTCACCACCATTATCAGCTTCGGAGCTTATAACCTATCTTTTTTTCTATCACGGTCTTCCACATTTTCAACATCCCGAATATTCTTGATTTTTCTCTGAGAGCATAGACCCAAATCTTCCTCGTTGCATCATCAATGAAAGTGACAAAATATCTTTTACCACCATAAGAGAGTTCTTGAGGTGGTCCCCACACATCAGTATGAACCAACTCTAGCCTTCGGCCTTTATTCTGTCACCCATTCAATTGAAAACTAACCGCTTTTTGTTTTCCAAAAATGCAATTCTCACAGAAATCTAAGTTCAACTTTTTGTAAACCTGGAAGCAATTTTCTTGAGTATAACTACTTTATACCATTTTCACCAAGATGTCCCAAACGATAATGCCAAAGAGTAGACAATCTACCTGTAGCCACTCTAGTTGCGATCATATTACTAATATTGTCTCCTTGGAGAAGGTAAAGTGTACTCATACGCTTTCCTTTTACTACTACTCTTGCCCCTAAGGTTATCTTCTACTCTCTGCATCCAAAGTTTGTTACCAAACTTTCTTGATCAAGTTTACTAGTTGAGATCAGATTTTTCTTCAACTTTGGAATATGCTTGGTTTCAAGCAAAACTAGACGTCCTCCAACTGAGATGTTCACAATTACAATTCATTTTCCAACAATCGAACACATATGGTCGTTTCCCACGACCACTTGCCCGAAATCTCCACTGGCATAATCAGCAAATATGTCTCTTTAGCAAGGTGTAATGGAAAGAGGCACTGGAATCAATAAACCAGTTGTCTATTAGCAAGTCAAACCCTGCGAACAAACACAAGTTCTCTACCAAAGGTTCATTGTTAACCACATTAGCTCCTTGATTCTCATCACACTGCTTTTTTTTGTAGGCTTCACATTGAAACCTTCAGTGCCCAGTCTGGTGACAAAACCAACACTCATCCTTTGCAGCCTCTTTCTCCCCCTTTGATTATAACTTGCTATGCCTGCTGAATTTTCCTCTACTTTTACTTCTCCCACGATTCTCCACTGCTAGTGCCTTCAAAGACATAGATACTGAAAAATTATCTCCACTTGAGACTTTCCTTCACATCTCTTTATCCATGATGCTGCTCACAGCATTATCTAGAGTCAAATCATCCTTCATGGTGCTCGAAATTCCTTGCATTGTGTTGTTGTAGCTTTCCAGAAGGGAACACAACAATAATAAAGTTTGGACCTTCATATCCAGATTTATACCTGCGGATTCCAAATGACCCATAACCTGCGTGAAATTATTAATATTCTCTACCGTAGAACCTCCATTAGATAACTTCGTATTAACCAACATCTTCAACAAAAATACCTAATTTGATGTGGACGGCTTCTTATATATATTCATGAGAATATTTGTGACTTCTTTTGTAGTTTTTGCTTTCGCGATGTGGTACCCTACTTTTTCATCAGCCCTAGACGAATCGCACCTAATGCCTTTCGATCAAAAATTTTCCATCCCAATTTTGCTGTTGGGTCCACTTTCGGGATTTTAGGTTTCCAACTTCCAAGTGGAGCATAGAGATCTTTCTAATAAAGATAGTCTTCGATTTGGGTTGGTTTCCACCAACCAAAATCTTGCCCATCAAACTTATCGATTCTGATTTTATCTTCTACCATATTGTTTGTTTTCAATCAAATGTCACTAGAAAACCCTTGATATTCTTGATTAGCCAGCCTAGGTTCTAATACTAGTTGTTAGGAATTGCACACCAATTCCAGAAAAATAACACAAGCAAACAATCCACCCAGGAAAATTATAATAAGAAAAGAACATAATAGGAAGAACACACCAGAAAAATTGTTATCGAAGTTCACCCAAACCTGGTCTACGTCTTCGCGCAGAGGCACTCTATGAATCCACTAGACTTCGAAGAAAGCATGAATCAATGGTAATCTTCTCTCAAGATTATGGCACAATGAGATTGAAAACACTCATAAAGAAAATCTCACTTTTTCTTCTCCCTTTTTTTTCTCTCTATTTTCTTCTTAGCCCATGTGATAGCTACTCTCTATCTATAGCTGATATATGAAGTGTAGCTTCTAACCTAAAACCAAAAAGAAGAGAAAAGACAAAAAAAAAAAGCCCTTAAAAAAATTTAGCTTCACCCGCCAACATCAAAGACGACCCATCTTTTGTCGTAAATGTATTTCAAAAGTGGTACCAAGTGGTAATTTTGCTTCAATATTAATTTCATGGCAACAGACCTAATTCACCAACTGGAAAAAAAAAGCCTCATTTTATGGTAAATTAATCCTGAAATGTGATAGAAAGGATAATTTGTGGTACACTATATTTAATAGAAATGAATAAAAGCATCATTTCAGGGTATTTGTATGATGAGTATGACAAAAAATTGCCAACCGTAACCGCTCCTTCCCACCAGTCTTACTAATAACTATTTTTAAAAAAATTGTCGAACTAGTCTTAATAGCTCCAAATTTAATAAATTTTTAAGGATTTCCAACATAGTTACATTAGTTGGATCTTGGCATTGAAGATTGGTAAGTGCTCTAAGAGCTCATGATTCGTACTAGCATTTGATATAATTGTTGTTGTTGGAAGTTAAAAAAATGTGTGGAAGTTTTCTAACATTACAATTGAAGACAATGAGCTAAGTAGGCTTGACCCTACAATACCTGCTTGTGGGTGCACGCGAATAATTGCGCGATTATTAAGTGTACTTAGCACTTTGTATGCTTGCGAGCTCACGAATCATAATTAGGATTAATCCTCATTTATTTTTTTTATTTACTAAAATTTGGATTTATAATTATAAAATAACATTTGTGTCCTATTGAAATAGTATGACTGTTCGCAATAGAGTTACGAGTATTTGTTATTATATTATTTAATTTCGATTTTATTTTATTTTATTTTTGCCTAACGGTTATTAGGCACTCTTACAACTTTTGGAAGATTGTCTCTTTGAACATAATTTCTTAACCTTTGGAAGGTTGTGTCTGTTCAGACATGACTTCTTAATCTTTGAAAGGTTGCATTTGCCCAATGTTTATTTTTCAAAATTTATAAAATTCGGAATAATAGAAATAAAAAAAGTATTATTATTTAATCCGAATTTTCAAAGTGTCTTTTGAGAAAGTATATGTTCACTTTGCAACCTTTCCCAAAGGATTACTTCTGTTCTAAAGACTGATATAAATTCGTCGGTTTTTTGTCTCATAAAAAGTCTACTACATTTTTCTTTCTAAAAAAAACTACAGCCATTGTTTCTAAATTGTTTCCTTTTGAAAGTTCTTGAAGAAATACCATAATATTCTCGTTAAGACTTTGTTGTATCGTGGAGGATCTTTGTCAGTAACTATTAGCAACGTCGTGAGGCAAATAATTCGTTAAAGAGAGTTATCACGTTGATTCTATTCTTCTTCCCGATCATATTTTCCCAATAGTTGTTAAATGAATTTCATGATAGATTAATATATTTTCTTAAATCTTGTTTTACTCACCTTTTTCTCCTACCCAATTCCTGTTTCCCTTTCTCTTCACCTTTCTCTCTGTTTTGCCATATTTTTCTTTATCATATTTAGTGGTCCCATCGTGATCCCCCGCGGCCTGGCACTTCCGTTTCCCCTACCTATGTTTTTTTTCTTATATCATAGCGAGTCGCTTCCTTAACCGGTTGGCATCCGACTAAACAAGTAAATGTTAAACTAGTAAATGGATGACTGAGATTTAGTAGGCCGTGGAAAGGTAAAACCGCTGGATGGGTGAACTCAAAGATTCTTTTTATTTTTTTTTTATTTTTTTTTTAACCTTGCAATCTGGCTCTCCGTATGAACGAGTATTATCACGTGTACGTGAAAGTCACGTGAAGACTTTGAAACGACATGAAATGGTGCTAAGCACATGTTAACATGTTTCAATTTGAATCATGAAAGAATATGCCGTGTGCTCTGCCTTTCCAGACAGGTGATGTTCCCCAAAAGCTCGCTTCCCTGAGATTTGCGGTCCCAAGAAACTTCACCTTGAGACCAATGAGATAAATCAGAACCGACGGTACCCGTTTTAGTTTATACACTGCTTGGCTAGTAACTTTCAGCTTCATAGAGCTTAGCAATCTGCTTTTGCAGAACTGGTAAGACTGTGCTGCTTCATTTTCTCTACAACTGGTTGCGCAATGGAAACCCCTCCATCCATCAGTTGCATTGGAGAAGCTGGTTCTCCCCGGAACCAGAAACTGATGCAAATGCCTGAAGCAGTGGAAGGGTGTGACTATGAAGTGTTCTTGAGCTTTAGAGGACCGGACACACGCCACGGCATCACTGACTTTCTTTACCACCGTCTCAAAGAAGCGGGAATCCGTACATTCCTTGACAACGAAGAGCTTCGCATTGGTGAAGAGATCGGCCCGGATCTCCTCGGAGCGATTGAGCAATCAAAGATCTCCATACCCATCTTCTCTAAAGGTTATGCTTCCAGCAAATGGTGCCTTGATGAGCTAGCTCATATGGTGGATTGTAGCAAAAGGAAGGGACAGAAAATCATGCCCATTTTCTATCATGTTGAACCATCTGAGGTTAGACACCAAACCGAAGGCTATCGTGAGGCCTTGCTCGAGCACGAGAACAAGAAGCGATTCGATCATGCCACGATTCAGAAGTGGAAAAATGCTCTCGGAGAGGTTGCAGAGTTAAAGGGCTGGAAGAGAGAAACGAAGGCTAACAGGTTCCTAATTTTCTTATCATCTCTTTCTTATCAACCTATAAAACAGTCTGTTGCACTGATGCGATTGTGCCATTGTCGGTGTGAATACAAGAGACCAGACACATTGACTGCTTTTCATTTGTTGTGTTAATTCCACAAAAGACATTGAAGTACGAATGCTTTCTATTGTCTTTCTCGACCTCTTTGGCCAATGTATGCGCAAGGTCTGAAAATTGTTATTATCTATCTATTGTTTGGAAAAATTGTAGCTACTTCGATTCTCTTTGTCAAAGTAAAGTCAACATTTTAATATGACTTTCTTTTTTTTACTGGTCATTCAAAAATTTTTGTAGTTCAAAATATGATAGTTATGTAATGAGCACATATTAATATTCATCAAAAGCTTATATTATATGCTGGATTCTTACTTACATATTTGTCTCAAACTAACGGAGAACAATAATGGATCTTGTTTATTGCTCATTACACTTAGGACGTGTGCAATATGTTAACTGTAAAGCTATTTTGAGAAAGAGAAGCTTGTTTACACATCAAAAGTACCCCTAAAAATCATCAGCCTTTGTTCTTAACAAGATATTGTGATCATCTACTGTACGTGACAGTTGCATAGCTGTTCTAAATCTGCACAAGGTTTGAGCATCTGCCTAGCATGTCCATAAATTTCTTCTTCCTGATCAATGCAACCGGCGAGTTCCATTTGTAGTTTTACTTCTTTGTTGCCTGCCGTGGCTTCCACAGCACAATACTTTTTTTTGTTTTTATCAATTCCTGATGTCATAGATTTCAGCTTATCGAGTCTAACTTACTTTCTACTTTGCCTTTATTGTTAGCCACGAAGGTAAACTGGTTGAACATATAGTTACTGAGGTTTTAAGTGAGCTGAGAAAGGCTTATTTGGAGGTTACCGACCTCTTGGTTGGAGTTGACCACAGTGTTGAAAAAGTTATGGGGATGATAGGCACCGCCACTGATGATGTAAAGATCGTGGGAATCCACGGATTGGGAGGTGTCGGAAAGACGACTCTTGCCAAAGTAGTCTACAACAAGCTTTATCAGGACTTTCCTAACTATTGTTTCCTTCCCGATGTTAGAGATACTTCAAACTCGAAAGGAATTGTGCATTTGCAGAACCGACTAATTTCAGATCTCTCAAAACAAACACATTCAAGTATTGATCGCGAGGACGAGGGAAGGAGGATGATCGAGGAGAGATTTTCTAGTAAGAAAGTTCTTCTTCTTCTTGATGATGTCAATGAGGAGAGGCAACTGACTGCACTTTTGGGGAAGAAAGGTCGCTTTGGTGCTGGAAGCCATATACTAATAACCACAAGAAATGCGAGTGTTCTCCAAGCATTTGGAGTAAAATTGATTTATTTAGTTGATGTAATGGATTCCCATAGATCCCTTCAACTATTCAGCAAGCATGCTTTCAGAAAAGATCAACCTCCAATTGAAAAATTAGAACAATCCAGACAAATTGTGAATATCGCCCTAGGCCTTCCGTTGCTTCTTGAGATTATGGGTTCAACTTTAGCATTAAATGGACAGAGCAAAGAAAGGTGGGATGATTACCTAAAGAAGTGGAAAAAAGGTCCCATTGAGGGAATTCGAAGTAGGTTGATGATCAGCTATGAAGCATTAGATGCCAATCAAAAGCAAATATTTCTTGACATAGCTTGTCTTTTTGCTGGATATGATAAAGATACAGTGATATATATGTGGAAAGACTGCGGTCTATCCCCAATAGAAGGTCTTGAAGTTCTTCAATCGAGATCATTGATTAAAATTGAAAAAGATAATAAGTTGTGGATGCATGATCAACTTATAGATCTCGGCAGAGGAATTGTTAATCAAGAAAGTGGGGCGCAAAGCAGACTGTGGGATCACAAACATGCATTGCACGTGCTCCAGGGAAAGGAGGTATGTCCTGGGTCTGACTTATTTTCTGCATGGAAATTACATTCGGTAAATGGGGGCAATCCCGCCCAGTGAAAACAGCCACCATTTATTCAACGTTCACATTTTTAAAATTTCCCTTATTCTAAAAACATTTCTTAAATTATTAAATTAAAGTTTTAAAACACATTTTCGGTCCTCTCTGGATTGTTTCGTAAGGATGATGAGAGCGAACTTAAGAAACTTCAGGTACACTCAATTATCTAAAATACTATCTTTGCCTCAAATTTAAAAAAAAAAGAGCTAGATGTTTTTTCTCTTAATTAACTAATTGTATCCTCCTTTTTCATTAATTTTTCTTGTTTTCTTATTCAGAGAAATGAAAAGCTTGAAGCCCTCTGCATGGTGTTTGAGGATTCGTCAGAGTATCGTTTCCCTCTTGAACGATTTCTGGCGCTTCCAAATCTAAGGTTCATTCATTTTGATAGCCGACGCCTCACTGACGAAGTTGACCGTCTTTGCTCCGAAGCTTCGCTTCTTTTGCATAACAAGTCCTTAATCACCTCGCTGACAAACTCTTTTCTTGCCACGAAGCAACTCCTTCCAGATTTAAGATGGTTCTCTTGGCATAATTTTCCTCAGCGGATACTCCAGATAAGCAATTTTTCATTGAGTAATTTAGTCATTCTTGATGTTTCAAGGAGTAAAATTACTCACGATTGGAGAGGATGGAGACATATAAAGGTACCTTCAACTCTAGTGAAGTCCTACTTTCAGTCTTTAAATTTTTTTTGATGTAATATTTACAGACAATTGTCTTATTGGTGATACAGAAAGCTGAGAAATTAAAAGTTCTCGACCTTTCGGAGTGTGAGCACTTGACCAAGACTCCTGACTTCTCTGGATTCAAGTTGGAGAGATTGATTCTCGAAAAGTGTAAAAGATTGGCTAAAATCCACTCGTCAATCGGTGAATTGAGGTCCTTGGTTTTCTTGAACTTGAACTTCTGTAGTGATCTCCGGAATCTGCCAAAAGAGCTGGGTAAATTGCCAGCTCTCATAGAACTTTTACTTGATGGAACTTCTATACAAGAAATTCCTAATTGTCAGCGCATGGGGAAGCTAGAGAAGCTTTCATTGGATGCGACACAAATTACTCTCCTACCTGACTCCATTGAAGTGCTGACAAACCTCGAGAGCTTATCCTTGAATTGGTGCTCAAATATGGGCAGACTTCCAGACTCCATTATGAAATTACGATCGTTGATTAAGTTGGATCTATTGGAAACAGGTATCACAGAGTTCCCTAACTCTATGGAAAGTCTGGAGAATCTGAAAGAATTGAAACTTTCGTGGTCCTATGGGTCCGGGGGTATCTCAGCCTTGCCTCTACTTCCCATAAGCTTAACTTCTCTAGCAATCTCGTCTCCGTCGCTGATAACTATTCCGGATCTTTCAAACCTGATCAATCTAAAACTACTGTTCTTGTGCATGGGAGTGCTTGATATCTTTGGCCCATCTGAATTGGTTTCACTGCAAGATCCCATACCTTGGATTGGGAGGTTATCCAAATTGGAAGTCTTGACACTGACGATCCGACACATGACTAACCTATCTTCTGAGTTAGGTGCGCTTTCTCACTTGAAGTCTCTTCATCTTTATGGTTGCCTTGCTTTGAAATGCATTCCGCAGATTCCCGCGAGTGTCTCAAAGCTTCATGTCATAGATTGCCCGTCACTTACCACACTTGATCTCTCAAAGTTGAAGAACCTATTGGAACTATATGTCCTTGCTACACCTCTGAAGGATGATCTTCCTGGGTGGGAACGTTTACGCAATCTGCAAGAATGGAAGCTAAGTGCGGACTTTATGCACGATTTGCAAGCGTATTTGAGGCCAAAGATGTTGGAAGAGCATGGACTCACGAAAACGATGTTGGGGCTACGTAGGAGTAATTATTGAGAGAGGGTATTTTTCACTTCTTGGGAAAATAAGTTGTTTCTTAAGTGAAAGGACTACTGGTTAAGATTAAAAAACATGCATATAATGTACAATTGTGTTCCCATTAAATGCGAGCTTTTCCCAAATTCTTATACTTTACAATTTCTTTTTGTGCTTAAAGAGGGAGAGCACTTCATACCACGTAAGGATATATGTGGTTTTTATTAGCTTTTGATATATTAATAACTTAAGAGGAAACCTTACTTGAATTTTTTGATGGGACAAACAAGTTGAATGTCCCATTGCATATTAGATGGAATATTTTATGTAATAAAAATATTAAAATTATGTTTCAAGCTTGAGATTGTTAAAATCCCAACCCAAATTATGTGAGGACCCGTCAGACGTGACGTATGCATGATATTTGGTTACCAAATGTGTCACGGAAGATCTAATCATTCACCATCCGGAGACTCAACTTGTAACGATGTAATAACATGGCAACAATTTGGTGTCAGAGAGTTGGTTTCGAAAAGTGGATGGTTGGGATTTTGGGATATATCTATAAATACTAGTATTGAGCTAAAGTTTAGGATGATGATAGAGGTGTAGGACGGTGACTGCAACATTTGCATTTGTGGTTGAGGGGCTGAAGAGAGAGTGGAAGAGAGACGGTCGCTTGGATTTGGTTGGAAGTGGTGCAGCTAAAAAAAGGGACACGTGTGGGAATGTAACTTGTGAACGTGAAATGTGCATTAAAGCTTTAAATTCACGTGAACTTACGCGGATTTATTGTTAATGTGAAAATTTCTATGTCGATAGTGACTTTGGACAAATGATTAAGGGAAGATATAAATTTGAGACTTGAGTGAAAGATGACGGTACTTTAGAAAAAAAATGTTCGGTGCATAAGACTAAACCTAAAGGTGAGGTTTATTTAGGAAATTTGGCCCTAGTGTATATGTGTGCGATTGTTTTTTCACAACAATTGGTATTAGAGTCAAATTAGGTTGAGTTTTTGACACGTGAATTTTTTCGACAGGTCAAAATTGCAAATATCGAGATTCGAGATCTATTATCGTGATAATACTCATTTTTGGACCCAAAAAAAGTTAGATAAGTGTCCATATCACAATTGCATCACATTTCATTAGTAATTAGGCATCATTTTCTCAATGAATTAAAAAAGTTGACTTTTTACTCAAACCTAAAAAGTCAGCTGTAGCTCAAAAGTTACAAAAATGTATAAAAATTGCATATCGTGCCAATTTAGCGTAGACATGTGGAATTAGGCCTTCAGATTTTAAATTTTTATAAAAATATGTCAAATGTTGACTTTTTTTGTTAAATCGAAGAATTTAGCCTTTGACTGAAAAATTAGAATTTTATTAGTTTCTAATCATTTTTCAGATTTCATTTCTTCTAGACATATGATTTAGGGACAATGGCAATTGAAAAATCTTGGATCCGATTATGTCCATTTTAAACGCCGAAATTTTGAGAGGTGGTCTACATCCGGTATAGGATTTAATTGACTATTGATTTTTATGATAAATTAAACTCGTGCATTTTTTCTTCAAATTGAGCCTAACAAATTTAATTTCAATACAATCTAGATATCCCAAGGAAATTTGAAAAGCAACGAGCCAATTGCGAGAACCCGGATTAACCCGGTTTTACTGAGATTGACCCATTATAATATAGCCCAATAATTTCGGCCCATTTAAGGATTAGGCCCAGCCCATTGAGCCCACAAAGCATGGTCGTCGGCCACCTCTCTTGAATAATACAAGACTGCCACCTTCCCAAATAATCCTCTTAACGACTAAAGAGTCATTTCCCTAATTACAAGAATGCCTAGCCATGTCAATTCGCACCATTCCTCTTAGTCTAATCTACACCCTCCTTTTTATCTCCCCACTTAATCCAATTAATGCGAGATCGCATACTCCAATATTGCTCTTCTTGTTTCCATAAATTCTGTATTTGCACTTTGATTTGCTGCATTTCTTTTTTGCTTGTGCCTCCATTTCCTGAATTTGTAAGGATCGTAAGTCTTCTTTTTAGGATCTCGATCTGGTTGTGGGCATTGGAGAATTTTTGCTTACTCCATAATTTTAGAGCTTCAGTGGTCTTTTTCAATTTTCTAGCGAACGGTATTGGGTTGTCTTCCAGTTCACCCCAAACTTCTTTCACCAACACCTTACACTCCGTATCGGCCAGCCAAAAAGCCTCGAACTTGAATTCTTTTTTCCTTTTAATCCTGTTTGGTTGGAGGGACAGCAGAATTGGACTATGGTCGGACCCTATTGCAGGCAGTGCAAAGGCTTCCGCATTTGGGAAACTCACTCTCCAGTTTATATTACAAAGGGCCCTATCTAGCCTTTCCCGCACCAGTGCTCTTCATTCCCTGTTGTTGGCCCAAGTGAATGCATAACCCTTGCTTTCAATATCCATGAGTGAACATCTGTTTAAGCAATCTTGAAATGCTACTAGCTTGTAGTGCTCCGCTCAATTACCCCCAGATTTTTTCCAATGGTACAAGATCTCA